GAAGTTAACTGTCATTATTCAAATTTTTCTTCCCTTGTGCTAATCTTGTTGGTCACCTGTTTTGCCATGATCTTCACGAGTCTGGCACCGCCTGGTACATCACCGATCTCCTGGCCGTGCCTCCTCCATCAGGATCTCTTGGCTTTCCTTATTTCTTTGTTGTAACAGGTAAGGGTTTCCTTGTAGGTGTCCCACTGTCCTGTTCTTTTAGCTGTATTAAACAGCCTTCTCATTTTGATCCTAAGCCAACTCAGCTGTTTATTCCACCAAGACACTCTCCTTGGTCCGCGAGTGGTCTTAGTCGGACAATTCCGATTAAAGGACGAGATAATAGCCCATTGCAACTGGTCAATGGATCAATCAACATCATTTATTGTGCATATATTTCGTGAGATGGTCTCTAGATTTACCTTTAGGTCGTCTTTGTAAGACTCCCAATTGGTTCTCTTAGGATTCCTATAAGTACCTTGATCTACTGTAATGTTGCTTATTTGAAAGCACATATATCTGCGATCCGATAGGGACGGCTCATCAGATACATGCCAATTACTTACCAGGTTTCCTATGTTATTTGTTCCTAGTGTCAAATCAGTAACCTCCTTCCTATTGAAAACCATAAAGGTAGGTTCGTTACCATGGTTTAGAATATTCAGGTTTGAACTCACCAGAAATTTCATAACGCTCTCTCCCCTTGGGGTAGTGTCGGTGCTCCCCCACAAGATGTGGTGCACGTTGGCATCACACCCAATAATGAGTTGCTTCTTCCTGCTACAGCAGTAGTCTGTGACGTCCCTCATTTCCTTAGTTGGTGGAGTTCCATCCGAGTCATATGGAAGGTAGACTGAAGCAATAATCAGCTCCCTGCTGCCTCCTCGATATGGATATGTTATCCTTACCGCTGTTACATCCCTAGAACAGAGCTCCAGCAAAGGCAAGGCATTAACATGATTCCTGATATAAACACAGGATCTTGCATTATTATGGGGTACAGTAGAGTAAACTGTTCCCCCTGTGCTTGTTAAGCCCCTTACTTGACCCTTGTATAGCCAAGGTTAATAAATAAGTGCTGTATCGCCTTACCCTCAGCTGGCTGTTGGCACAGACCTGCCGTGGCATCTTTGCTGTGGTTTAGGTTGATTTGAAGAAATTTCATGATCTCTTCCAACTGGGGAGGGGTCAATTTCCATCTTATGTCCCTCTCCGTCGGACTGGGTTCCATGTGAAGGGGTCCCCTGATCTGCTTTGCTTTGGTCATCTGGGGGTCTGGCTATCTCATCCCCTTCCTCCTCAGAGACCGAGTTAGAAGATACTGTATCTGTCACAGGTTCTACCCGGCGCTGAACTTCAGGATCATCTGGCACCTTAACAGTCTCCTGTAAATATTTTGTAACCAGTCCTCTGTATAATAGTATGGGAGTCCTGGTCTATGAATAAGATGAGCCTTTGGCCTTTTGACTCAGATTGCTTATTGAGTACCCTCCAGTTCTCAGTATGAAGTCCTGGTTTAAGGTTTGCAATCCATTTCAGCAGCTCTTCCTGATTCTGGGCAATTTTGTTCCTAGTCCGGAGAGCCACTTTAACAGGCTTGGGCAGGTTCCTGGCCCCTGATTCCAGCCTGTGTTTGTCAATGGCTTTGGTGAGCCATTGACCAGACTGTTGGTCGGCACATACATTGATAAGTGCACTTCCCACTAGTCTGTAGGGTTTCAGGTGTGGTAGTTCTCCCTTTGGAGTCTTACGTAACACCTCCCCCAATTCTTCCAGAATGGAATTTAGGTCATCTTCAGTAAGCTTATCCTCAGGATAGTTGTCCTTTATATTGGTCAGAGCCTCCTTGTAAGTCCCTGGGCCTTTTCGGAATTCTGGCCGTTTCTGTAGGGGTACTGCCCTCCACCTTGGCCTCTTAAAGGTGCCAGTGGGGGTTTCTTCTTGTTTGGACAAGCCTGCATTTCCTGGTTGCTTACTGCTCCCAGTTCCTGCTTTGCTTGCCTCAGCTCCTGCCTTTTTCAACTTCCGTCTAGCGCATCCAGACAAGGTTTTCTTCGCCAGATAGGGTCCACCGACTCAAGATACTAGGTGTCCCAGTCCTTCTCCTGCTGCAGGTATGTTAGAAGTACTAGCTCCCTGAAGTGGTGTGTCAGTACTACTGACCCCCAGGAGAGTAGTTTTTGGTTTTACGTCTGGCAGGTTTTGAATCACTGGTTCACCGTTACCTTTGGTTGAAATTTCAACAGCAGGTTTGCTGGTTGCAACTGGGCCCCTTAATGGTTCACCAGAGCTTCCAGCCCCATGCTGAAGCATTTCTCATAGGGATCCCCTTCGAGGGGGGTCCCTCTTCAGTTTAAGGTCTTTACGACCGGCTTTTAGTTTGGTTCCTTTCATTTTGGTCCCACAAGTTATGGGGATTTAAAAGGTCACCACCCGCAGCGCCCCATATGGATGGAAGGCATAAATGCAACGGGGTGCTGCCTGGTGCCATAAGGGGATCGTTCAAGACACTGGCTAATTACCACCCCAGTGCCATGCAGCCCTGAGCACGATGCCTCACACCTTGGCTTAGGTGGCTTGGTCCTGTAAAATGCAACCCTCAGAAGCCTCCAGGACCAAGAGTGCCTGTTCGGGGGGAGAAGGGTATCCCAGACGATAAATGGGAGTGCGACACCAGTTAGTCATGAGGTTGCGACCAGGGCATCCTACACAAGATTATCGCCCCTGGGGTTGCTTCTGAGCTCCCCCATTCCCACCCCTCCAAAGGGGTGGTCAAACCATTTTAGAGTGTTGAGCCCAGAGGTTTGCGGCACCTTATCGGTACTCAAGGGAGACAAGTAAAATAGCTGTAGCTACCCCCATAGGAGTGCTCTCTCACATTTGTCCCGGGTACACTGTAGTGACACCCAAGAGTCATTATGCCACCATGTGGGAGGCTCCAGTCATATAGCCATTGCCCTTTATGGAAACTCAGCCGCCAGCCCCGGAAGGTCATACTGATCCAGACCATCCAAGACTGTCGTTGCCCGGCGGGACCACGAGGAGGTGTTCCAAAGCTGTGTCCCAGCGCATCCCTGGTCTGTGATACGTCCTCACCAAAGACACAGCTGTGGCTTGGCCAACCTCATCGAGGATGGCGTCATTACCACCCTGCCTTTTTTTTTTACATACCATGACTTATACATATATACAAATATCCTATGTAACATTTCCTTCTATTATACAGATAACCAAAGCAATCTTGTCTAACACATTTATTTCTTAAATCAGCTCATCAGGTGCTTGAGATTGAACATGATCAGCGGAATCTTCTAGGTCTGCCAACCAGTCATTATAGGACTCAATAGCTTCATCATAAAGGTCAGAGTCTGAGATAGAACATGGTTCAGTGTCCCATTCGCCCTTCAGGAACTGACCTACTCCTTCTCCACCCACCTTAAGATAAGCACTCACAATCTTCCTTTCCTTGAGTCCATGTGATTTCTCTTCAGTAGCCACATTTTTGAATATCATATCTTGCAACAATGCAGGTCTCTAGGCATCCTTAGCTTCAGTTACAGGGTCAACTTCAGGAGCATAAACTTCTTCCTTGTTGCCGATTAGTTGGAGTTCTCCCATACTCATTATATCCTTAACAGTGTTTTCCATGTCATATGTAAATGCTTTAACATCAGATCTCTTCCTGCCACCTATCCTGCCCAGGATACTTCCAAGCCCAGAGTAATACTTCTTTCTTTCTCCTTCCATTGTCAAAAAGTGAGTGAACAGGAGGCATGTCTTCACTGCTGTTTTCGTCAAGACTTTCCAAAAATGAGAAAACTGCATTATGGGCTCCCAGAAATACAAAATGCCCTGTAATTGAAGCACGGTCAAAGATTTCAGCCTGTGCAGCCAAATTGCTATAAATCTTGGACATGATGTCGCAGTTGTAGTCGGTATCCCTTTTAAGATGCTTTTTCCTCAAGGAGGCCATTCTCCAGCATTTTGCAATGTGCTTGGCTCCTAAGGCAGAGGTCAAGGTATAACACTCAGCAGTGAGGAATCTGCCATGGCTTACCGTATAGAGAGCACCTAGAACAGCTGCACTCTCTTCTGTTGGGCTAGGGTTGAGGAACTTAAAAATCTGCTTAACATTATAATCAAAGAACCTGAAAAGGGCATCCACAACTTCGTCGTCTATCAGGCTCTTACAGTGCTCAGCAGCACTTGATATGTTTCTCCAAACATCCGTCCAATTAGGGAATTCCTCGACCATTATACTGCCCATGTCAGCCCATTTGCCAACTATGAATCTCCTTGGAATCACTTTCTTGAACTGTTGTGAGACTATAGCTAATATAGCATTAACCAATGCTTGGGAAGTACCCATTTTTGAACAGAGTTTCTTGTACAGTGTCTGCAACTTTTGCCCATGTTTATGTTTAATCTCTTCACCCATGACTTTGACAAATGGTCCTTTGAGCCTCCTAGGCAATTCCACTGCTGGGCCACCTACTATTTCCTGTCTCACAATGCCTGGCCTTAGTACAACTGAGGTTACTACTCTGCGTTCTGTATGAATGCCTACAGAATACTCAATGGTCTGAACCATATTGTAACGTGTTTACGTTACTGAATACGCTGTAGAGATCGTTAATTGGTTTATTTAACAATCTACAAATAACGGCTACAATTAACTATCACAATATTACGGGTTTCCACACTTTACAAACCCTACAACAAAATTTCTTAACACAATCTTCACTTGTCTTCACGTACTAATAACGCGGGAGCTATACAAGTCTCCCTGAATTACACACTTTCACTCGTAACACGCCGCTGGCTAGATTCCAACTCCGCTCGCAAGATGCTGCCTTGAGAACTGATGATAACACACTCGGCGACTGTCACAGTACAACTGACTGTGAATAGCCTTCGCTGCTCCTTATGTAGCCTCGATCGGACAATACAGAAAACGGCCATGTAATAAGCACCCTTGTTGCCTGGCGCTGTGTTGCTAGTAACGCTAGCGGTAGTAACCGCTGTTACCACCGTCGTCTCTCGCAATCCTGTTGCATCACCGTTACGTTACCGTGCGGAGGAGGGGGAGGGGAGCGCTGACTCACCCGCCGCGTCACTGCTGGTGGGGGGGGTTTTCCTTTG